TCTAAAGACCAGCCAAGCCTTAAACTAAGTTCTTTCTGCTTCTGTCCTCAACATCTGCAACATTAGTCGATAAAAACTGATTTTCTCAGAGTTTAAATGATTACAGTGGTAAATCCAATTTCTTCTGGTTTTAAGCCAAAAAGCTCACCTGTTCAGTTCATTTATGGGAACATTAATCATTACGTTGTTCTGGAATTATCTGTACTGGTACTTAGTTTCCGATTGCAACTTGCAGATTTTACAGTGTGCTCTGAGTGACCTGTAACTAGTTAAGTGGATGGCAATGCTTAAAGAAAAGAACAGGAGAAAAGAAATCTGTAGCATACACTGCCTCAGGTTTCAGAGCTCTTCATTTGTTTGCACATAAGGACGAGGAACACATGGCTTTTATGAAATGACATGTCTGTATAAAGGCAAACAATTCTGCATTTAACTAAAAAGTATTATAAACACTATTTCACAGCTGAGTGCTAAAGAATGTATGCATTATATGGCTTATAAAATAGGTTAAATTTTCTATTTGATTTTGTAGCAAGACACAGTTACAGCCACGCTTTTATGCTTTCAAAGTATTAGGTTGCACAAGATACCCATCTACTGTTCACCATCTACATTTAAATAACGATTTGAGGAAGTTCTAACAAAGGAAAAAGAACCATTAATGGGAAAACTTTGACTAAATTTAAGATGAAGGCACTGAGGGGTAAGATAGCTCCTATAGTCAGTTGATTGCTAAACTCTTCTCCTAAACTGTTTTAACATTTCATTTTATGTGTCTGAATGTTTTGCTTGCACATATAAACGTGCTTCACATGATGCCTGAGGAGGTCAGAAAAGGCATCAGATCCACTGGAACTGGAGTTATGGATGGTTCTGAGTCACCACTGAGTGCTAGGAATCAAACCAGGTCTTCTGCAAGAGCAGCCAATGCTCTAAACCACTGAGTGGTCGCTCTAGCCCCTCAACTGATTTTTAAGAATTTTAAGCTTAACTGTTAATAGAACAATCTGTTGAGAAAATTGTTCTCTTCAGAACAGATGCTTCAGGAGAGATGCAAATGGAGTGGTGAGGGAAGGCACCCACCACTAGTTGTTTACCCTAGCAAACAACTGGATGACAGAAGATGTACCCAGAATATCCTCATGTCCAACAGGAACACTCTCTCTCTACTATGTTTTAAAAACATATTGGAACTTTCGAACAAGTCTTGTCAAATCAGCTATTTATTACAATATCCATCTCTGCTACAAAAATAGATTTTTTTGGTTTTTAAAGACAAGATCTATCTATGTAGTCCAGGCTAGCACTGAATTTCGATCTTCCTGCTTTGCCTCCTTAATGCTGGGGATTACAGAATTGCAAGTGCATATTGCCATACCTGGCTACTGACAGAATCCAGGCCTTGAGTGTGCTAGGCAAGTGCTCCAGTTCTTACTTAAGTCTCCAGTCCTCTGTAAATCCTTACCAGAGAGGCAAATCTAGTAACCTCAGTTAAATATGCTTGGGAAAAAAAAATCACAAAACCAAGTTTTATTAAATATTTACTTGACGGACAGTGGTGGTACACACTTTTAATCCCAGCACTTGGGAGGCAGAGGCAGATGGGTTTCTGAGTTGGAGGCCAGCCTGGTCTACAGAGTGAGTTCCAGAACAGCCAGAGTTATACAGAGAGACCCTGTCTTGAAAAACAAACAAACATAAAAGCCAAAAAGCAAGAACTTGCAGTGTAAATATTTACTTGAAATAAATTACTCATGAGCACTCCCAGGTCTTTACTTTAAACTATCTCTTTTCATTATAGATTAGACTATTACTTCAATACAGGATTAGTTTCTGTTTTTTGAGATAGGATCTTACTGAGTAGCTCAGGCAATTCACAATCCTCCTGGCTCAGCTCTCAGAGCTAGGATTGCAGCAAGTCACCAGGCCTGCTTCAACCTTGAGGTCTTTATTTTAGGAAACTCAGGTATAAGGTCACTGTGGAGGAAAGATTAGATACAGAAGGCTGCAGTCTGGGAAAAGGATGTCAAGGAACAGATGAGGTTTTTCTTAATAAACACTGGGAGATCTGATGAGGCAGGAGTATCAAAAACAAAATTCCCAAAACACTATGAGGAGACAGTTTACTTAGGCATGGGCCAGGGGGTGAAGGGGCAGTGTGATGTTAAATAAATTTAAGTTTTACTTTATAAAGCCCAATTTTGTTCATCTTGCTGTCTCATCATGCAATGCTGTTACTGTTAACTAACTACAAACCAGTTTCTCTATTTCTATTCTGTTCATCTACTTTGAACAAGTGCTATGGTTACTGTGATCTGGTAAGGCTGATGATATTTGTTGCCAGGTTCAATATTTTGCTATTAAAACTTCTGTGACAAGAACATTTAAAATAACAGACTATGGCAAATTCAGATTGCTTTAATGACTATGGAGCTAGCTGCAACAAAACAGAAAATAAAACCCACCAAATCACAGGATGCTGAGGAAATGCTAAGGGATTGGAAAAATGTTGCCTGCCCTCTGGAAGACAAGGACAATTTAGCATTTGCAATACAATGCCTCTTGCTTGACAGGCATCCCTGTTTGCTCTGGAGGGGAGTAAATTTGAGTTTCTGGCTGGCGGATGGAGGGTGGGAGGGAGGAAGGAGAGAGGAAGGAAGGTGAAGTGTAGGAGAATGACTACCCCTTTTATATAATTTTGGAGCTGTACAGGAAATCAGAGGTCAAAGTGGTTCCAATGGCTTCTAGTAGAGGGAACTACTGAGCAAGGGACAATTAGGCTCCAAAGGGAGATCCTAGAAGGGGGTGGACTCAATGTGAATTTGGTCAATCATTAAACCTTTGGCCACAACCTTTGTTCCACCACTGGGAACACCATCACAGTCTCAGTTTTTCCAGTGTAGAAACATTTCTATAATTTTTAGTTAGGTAGCAAAAGGACTATTGGATAGGACTGAGGCAGACAAAGGTCTAGTTCTGCAGTTCTCAACCTGTGGGTCCCACCATAACCCTTGCAGGGGTTGCATATCAAATATCCTGCATATTAGATGTTTACATAATGATTCTTAACAGTAGCAAAATTACAGTCATGAAGTAGCAATGAAATGAACCGCTGTTCTAGTCCAACCTCCTCTGTGCTCACTTGCCAAGTCAACCTCCATCAAGACTCCTACTCAATATATTAAGTTTAAGCAACTGAAAAAAGGTGGTTTTCCTTTAATAGGTCTTTTTTTAAAATGCACCTTTAAAGCTGTATTGTGAAATACAGTGGGAAAAATGCAAAATGCTTTTTCTTCCCTAAAATAGTCTGTCAGCCAATCTACACACATCCAAAAAATTTAAACCACAGGATACCTTGGTTAACTAACAAATTTAACTGATTGAACTCTCTAAGGACTCTACCTTTTGCCTAGGCTCAATTCTGGTACTAGCCAGGACAGGAACACACCCCCAGGGCTATTTTATTCTATTGGCTGGCAGGGAGTTCTGTAGTCTACACCCTTTAGATTTAATGTCAGGTCGCCCTGTTTGTCAGAGACGTTACTCGGCTCGGTATTTTACATTGTTTTGAGGGGAGGAAAGGGGCACAATGCAAAAAGTCATCAGTGTAAAATTACATTAATTTAAAAGATTAGTAACCTGAGCTGGTTAATCAAACTTTCAAGATTCCAACTCCAGAAAGAAAATAATTTTCTCTGTTCTTGTATCATCGGCTGCTTGTGTTAAGGGCTCATGCTCTATGACAAGCACTGAGGCTTAAAGGAAAGCTGTACAGTGCCCTCAGTCAGAATCAACACATGCAGAGGCTTGGGGTGAATGTTTGCCCAGTAAAAAGGCTGGCATATTACGTGGTTGTTTTAGGGCGGAAAAAAAAATCAGTATCCTCTAAGGCTGCCACACCCGAGGCGGGGGAACCCGAAGCGGGGCACGGCCTGCAGAACTGGGCTGGGCCGAGTAGCGGCCGGGACAACGGGATTCTCGAGAGGAGGGAGGGCGGTAAGGGGCCGGAGGGCGCTCACCTCCCTTGCAGGGCGTGCGGTGCTGGCTGTGCTGGGCCCGGTAGCCTTCGATGACCTCCCAGGAGCCGTCGTCGCGCCGGATGGGGAAGGAGAGGCTCAACACATGGTTGCAGGGCTTGATGATCCGCAGGATGCCGCGCACCCGGTTCCGCTTCTGCTCCTCGCTCTCTCGGGTCTTCAGGTCTTCCACCAGCTTGTCCTCCACGATGCTGGCGCCGCGGTCGAAGAATCCCTCCACCATCTTAAAGAAGTTGGGGTCGTCTTCGCGGTCGGCGGCCGCTTCGCTGTAGTGGCGCCGGGCGACCGGCGTGAGCCCGGGTTGCAGGGCAGCGGAGGGCTGTCCGCGAGCCCAGCCCAGCAGCGCGGCTGAGTCTGCAGCCGCAGAGCCCAGGGCAGCGGGCCCGGCGCGGGACAGTAGCAGCGCTTCGCCCAGACGGCGGTACATGGCGGCGGGTTGAGGCGAGAGCGGAGGGAGCAGTGAAGACCAGAACTCGCAGGCCTGGACCGCGGGAGGAAGGGCTGGGCGCGAGCTGCCCTTTTAAGCCGCAGCTTCCTGCTCGTCTGGCTGTCCCCTCCCCTGCGCCGCTTGTCGCCCCACCGGGAGGACGGACTTCGGCAGCCGCGCGCCGCCCAGGGCGCTGGGCCTTGCCTTCGCCGCGGCCTCGCCCGGCCTCCAGGCGGCGGCGCGTGCGGCTGCGGCGTCGGGGGCGCGCACTTGCAGATGGACTTGGTGCGCATGCTCGCGGGGGCGGGGGCTAGCGTGGGCGCGCGCGGGCCGCGGGCCGGAGGCACGGGTTCCTGAGAGCGGTCAGACGCGTTCGCGTCCCGGAAGGTCGGTCCGCCTGTGCACGCGCGGCGGCCTAGTAGGTGGAAGCGGACTGTAGGGAGGCCTCGCGGGCTGGCCAGCAGCCCGGGCCGCGTGAGTCACCAGGCCCCTCCTTTCCGCCCTGGGCCGGAACGGTGTTCGGATCCGCTGCGCGGCAGGCCGGAGAGGGACGCCGAGCAGAAGGCGCTGGGGAAGTCCGGACTCATCTCGAATCGGGCTGTTGAGGAACCTGAAAGCAAGAAGCCTTAAGACTGGAGGGAGCCCTGGCCCCACTGGCCTTTACTTTGCACAAGGTTTTAATTTGTTCTAGTCAACTGTTCAGCGATTTTTGAGGTAAAACAGTTATGCAAAGCATTATTGACTCTGTCGCGTGCCACTTTTTTTTTTTTTTTTTAAAGTCAGGGTCTCACTCTGTAGCCCAGGCTTCCCCAGAACTCATGGAAACATGCTTGCTTCAGCTCCCCGAGCCCATTCTCCGGAGTGCTAGGATTACAATCTTGGGTCATCACATCCGTACATTGTATGTAACTCTGCCATTGACTGAGTGTTTGCCCTTCTTTTGGAATTCTGTTCTAAAGTAAGATAAGGCAACTAGAAATTTAATAACGCTCCCAGAAATGTCTCAGTATATATATTTAATTTCCAAGATTTGCTTTATGGATCAGGCTGGCCTTGAACAACTCAGATCGGTCAGTCCTTGCCTGAGTGTTCAGATTAAAGGAATGTGCCATGGTGCTTTGTGTGTATTCATAATACATGTTCTTTGTGTGTGTGTGCATATATATATATATATATATATATATATATATATATATATATATTACATATACTTAAATGGTCCAGGATCTGATTACTAAGTTATAATTTTCACAGTGGTAGCCAGGCTTGGGTTCTTCATGCCAGGAACCCCAGAACCTGAGAGGTGAGGGCAGGAGGATAGAGTTTGATTCCAGCTGGGGCTTCATGAGATACCCATTTTTCTCAAACAAAAATGAAGCTACAAGAGAACTCAGTTATACACTCACACATACACGCTTGACAGTGTCCAATAACATCTTGTAAGGCAAGCTACCAAATGCCACATGACTAGTAAAATCACCCCAGAGTACTTTGGCCATTTTGTAAACCCTTGTACTTCCTGACATCATTCATCCATTACATGACTTTATTCATCTACTAAACATGGAAGAGAAATTCTTAGTCCTTAAAATGTTTTGTAAATGTGAAGTGACAATCTAGACCAGTTAAATTACATTCATTTACCTCAGTGTACTATGAAGCAATATTGATCTTTCTTTACCAGTGTAGCTTATATCTTACCTTATTTGCTGAATGATAACCATTAATTATATTTATTAATATTATATTAATATCAACCATAATTGATATATCAATAATAATTGATAAACAATAAATGATAACCATTAATTATATTTGTATTGTGTTTTTTAGCAAAAAAGATTCTCTGGCCTGCAGCATGATTTTGGGTTGATGTGAAAAGATTAAGGTACTAAATTTCCTTTTCACTTGATAATATTATCACTTTATGATTTTATATTACATGAAACAAAACGTTCTACCCAGAACCTAAAGTTTCAAAAGAATAAGACTCAACAAATCCGGAGGTTTAAGCTTGACTAGTGTCTGCGAGCACATGGAAGGATATCCTTTGATATGTTGTTGTTGTTTGAGACAGGAGTCTCACGTTATAGCTCAGGCATGTTTGTAGCTCACTGTGTAGCTTAGTGGGATTGCCTGTTGAACTACCATATCAGTTAGTTTTCTTTCTTTATTGGTAGCCATAGCCTTAAAAAGGTTTAATATTGCTTTTTCTATAGTTTAGTTACCTCAATTGAAGACACCTTTTGGAAAGGATAAGAAATACAGCTGTAGAAATTTTTTGTTTTTAATTTCGTATCTCTTGTGTGTCAGTATGTTAAAAATAGGTAAGATCTGTGGGCATGTGGTACTGACTATAATCTCAGCACAGGAGGAATCAGCTGAAGCAGGAGGATTGCCACGAATTTTAGGTCACCACGTTCATGTCACATAATGAACTCAGGGTAGCCAGAAGGACTGTCTGTCTTAAGGGGGGAAAAAGCAAATAAAATTAGAACTCTGAGAACCTGAGAATGTCGCTTTTTATTTAAAACAGTTTTAGTAATGTTTTAACATTACATGCAAGTTACACAAAATCTAAAGAGTATATATATTGGCAGGTTTTAAAAATGTTAGCGCATGCCCATGCTCTGGAGGGAGCCTGGGTTATATAGTGAGGAACCCTCGCCCCAACTCTCTCACACCCACCAAGAGAAAGAGTGAACTTCTCCAGGTCTGCTTCCTTAACCCTGTTTAGAACACAGCTGGAGTTTTCCTTTCAGCCTAAAGGAGGTGTTGTGACAGCTGACTTACATGGGGCCTGAGGCTCAGAGGCACATTGTTCATGTTCGCCTATCTATTAGATGGGCTAAGAGTCAGACTTACATAGCCAACTCCAAAATTCTGTTATCTTTGTTGCTTATCCAAAAAGTGTATATTTGCTCCACTTAGCTTTACATCTGACTGCTTTGTAAAATAGACAAATAATATTCCAAATTATACTTTAAATATTTATAATAATTTCCATTTCTAAAGGAGACCAAAATTTAACTTGAAAGGAATTTTAGTCTTTGATGGCATTCAACAAAGACAAATTGGTTTTCTGCCTTTGAGGTTGATAGAACTTTTCCTTGCTATTTTATAGTCTTGCTCTGTTCTTGATTCACAGTGTTCTTTTGTACTTTCAAGTACTTGAAATAAGATTTTAGAAGAGAGCTGAAATTTAGACATACCATATAAATATACAAGCAGAAATCACTGGATGAATCACCTGGTTTGAAAGGGCTGTATACATTTTCTATTCTGTACATTTTCATTTACATACAATCAGTATGTGATCTTTAGAGGTTGTCTTCTTTCACATACTATGTTTTAAAAGTCTATTGATTGATGCAGCACTCGTTCCTACTTCATTGCCTGATTGTACCCCTTCTCTCTTTTATGATCTATCACTAAGCTATACCCACAATGTGACATCCCTCCCTCCCCCACTTCCATTTCAAGACAAGGTTTCTCTGTATAGCTCAACTCACAGAGATCCACCTGCCTCTGTCTCCAGAGGAGATTAAAGGTGTATGTCACCACTGCCCGGCAGCTGTCAACATTTTTATAATTCTTTGGTCACTGATAGACCTTAGGCTTATTTTGAACAGTTAGGAATAGTGTTATGAATATTCTTGTACAAGTTTTTATGTAGAAATATTTCTCCATTCTCTTAGGTGTTTCTGGGAAGAGAATTGGTAGGCGTATGGTAAGTTTGTGTTTGCCATTTTGAGAAACTGTCAAATTGTTTCCCATGGTGGTTGAACTGTTTTAATTCCTGTTGTCCTTGTAACTGAGTCTAGTTTCTCTGCTCACCAGTGTGTCTCTGTCTTTTTGATGATGGCATCTAGTGGGTATTAAGTGAAGTATTTGCCTATCCTTGAAATCTCATAGTCTAATAATGTTGCGCTTGAACATTCTGCTATCTTATTATATGTTGCTTTATGGACATGTATTTAGATCCTTTGCTCATTTTAAAAGTTTGATTATTTGTCTTTTATACTTGTCTTGTCATGTAGCCCTGGCTGTCCTATAATTCGCTTTGTAGACCAGGCTGGCCTTGAACCTAAGGAAGTCTTACCTGTCTCTGCCTTGTGAGTGCTGGCATCAAGGTTATACACCCTCATACCTGGCTCGCTCACTCTTTTCTTTTTTGTCTTATTTTATGGCTTAGTTTTATCCACTAACTTACTATGTAGCCCAGTCGTAAGCAGTCTTACCTTTTAAGTACTGAGCTTATAGCGTGAGCCTTGATGCCTGGATTGTCCTTTTATTTGTTAATTATCATTATCATTATTATTATTTTTGTGGCAGGGTCTCATGTAGCATAGTCTGGCCACAAACTCCCTTTGTAGCTGAGGATGACTTGTACTCCTGACCTCTTGCCCCTTCCTTCCAACTGTCGGTATTACAGGCGTGTTCCACCTCACTCAGTTCCCTTTCATCAATGAATTATGAGAATTCTTTTGATATTCTGACTGTAAGTCCTTTGTTAGATATGTGTTTGCAAGTGTTTCTTCCTTTCTAAGTGTTATCTTGCCTTCATGTGTGTATATAATATGATATATTATATATATGTATGGTATATATACTTAATATGTCTTAACTTATTGTCTGGAAAATAAAACTGACTAAACATGTTTTTATATCTTCATTTTATTTATCCATGTGCCCATTCTTTTAATTATTTTTTATTTTTGTATGTAGCAGGGTGTGCTGTTGTAGCACATTTGTAGAGGTCAGAGGACAGGTTTCAGGAGTAGGTTCTTTTTTTTTTTTTCTCGAGACAGGGTTTCTCTGTATAGCCCTGGCTGTCCTGGAACTCACACTGTAGACCAGGCTGCCCTTGAACTCAGAAATCCGCCTGCCTCTGCCTCCCAAGTGCTGGGATTAAAGGCGTGCGCCACCACTGCCCAGCTACAGCTAAATTTTTAAAGCTTTATTGTATTTCAGTAATCTGATGCATATTCCTCCCTGCCCCCCCCCATCAGTGCTCTTTGCCTTCCTTCCTGAATGAGAAAATAAAAGGAAAGGCGACCGTGACTACTAAAGCATAGAGAGTTCTGTTGTAGATGTAAGGGGGACAGAGCCGAGGGAAGAGTCCTGAACATGCTGGCGCACTAAACTGGACCAGAGAGGGGAGAGAGCTAGAGAGAAGCCAAGAGTGGCCTGGCTGGATTATATAGGGATCTGGCTGGGGGAAGGGAAGCAGAAGCGAAACCTCCAGGAGGGAGAGATTTATTGTGGGGGGCAGAATGAGAAGCACTAGGAGGAGCTATAGGGACTGAGGGTTGCTGGGCGAGCTGGGAGGAGCCACTGGGACTGAGTGAGGGAGCTGGCCAGTGCTTGCTTTGGTGTTGTAGCCACCTCAGTTAATCTCTCACCATTTCTGAGACCTAATACCAGCAATCTCCTGCCTTTCCTCTCTGTTTTCTTCCTGGTGTATTAGTGAAAACCTATGAAAAGGAGGAATATGGTGATTTGATACAAACGTCAGTGATGTTTAGAAAGTCATTTTAAGCTGGACAGTGGTGGCACACGCCTTTAATCCCAGCATTCCGGAGGCAGCCACAGGCGGATTTCTGAGTTCGAGGCCAGCCTGGTCTACAGAGTTCCAGGACAGCTAGGGCTACACAGAGAAACCCTGTCTCGAAAAAACAAACAAACAAAAAAACCCCCCAGAAAACAAAACAAGAAAGTCATTTTAAAAATAGTTTGTGCCAGCTAGCCTTGATTTGAGATTCTCCTGCTTCAGTCTCCAAATGTTGGGTTTTATAAGCATGTGCCACCACATCCAGCAAGATTTGCTTTTACAGAGGATGAATCAGTAAATAGAACTGAGACAAACATGTTGTCACATGCTTGTCATTTTATCACTTGAGAGGCTGAGTCAGGAGACATGTCAGTTCGAGCTATCCTGTAAGCTGGGGAGTACCATGTTTTTAGCATTGTGTACTTGTTAGGTCAAGAGGCTGGAGAGAAGGCTCAGAGCTTAAGAGTATGTGCTGCTCTTACACATGACCTGGGGTTGGTTCCCAGCACCCACATGGTAGCCCACAAACATCTGTAATACAGTTCCTAGGGATCCAGTGCCAATTTTGGGCTCTACCTGTAGCCTTCACATGGTGTAGTGTAACTCATGTGGACACACACACACACATACACATACACACACACACTTAAAAAGAAATAAGCCAGATGGTAGTGATAGGACACATGCCTTTGACCCCAGCACTCTGGAGGCAGAGCACAGGCAGCTCTCTGAGTTTGAGGCCAGCCTCGTCTACAGAGAGAAAGTTCCAGGACAGCCAGGGCTACACAGAGGAACTCTGTCTTGAAAAAAAAAAAACCTTTAAAAATGCTAGGTCACAATAAATAAACATAGTAAAAATAGTTTAAGAGTGCTTCTCTCCCCAGCAGGGGCAACCACCCTCCTGTGTTTTTCTAATAAATCTGTCGTGTGAGATTTGTGGTGTGACTTTGTGGTATTCCTTGGCTCCTGATTGGTAGGATACCTTTCCCCTCAGAGCTCCAACACTTAAAACTGGGTATCTTCATCACTGAGATCTGGAGTGAGCAGGTGGGAGCAGATTAGTTTAAACTACAAGGTAGCAGAGCTTGCTAGGCGCGACCAGTGCTGTTGGCTGCCGCCCACTGGAAGAGTAGAAAAGGGAGAACATGGACTCCTTCAGTAAGAACAGTTCATCATGTCCTGGGATCAAGAGACCAACTGACTGCTGAGAGCCCAAGCCTCTGGGCAGGGATGTCAGGAACAGGAGTGGGATCATCCAGAACCTAGCTCTGGATCCCAGGAGGGAAAGCTGCAGCACCTAAGGAGGAGTTTGCATTATTTAAGTTGAGGGGTAG